CTCCCACTATACTTTGGTTCGTGGGTCCATTACCATACCGCACTAACCTCGCCCATACAATGTGTGGCGCTGAATAATCGAGTTGATTTCAGCATGCATGTTCTTTGTGAAGATTCTTGGCCCTGTAGTCGGTCTACTCGTCGGTAGCAAACTCAACGAAATCTACTACACTTTTGATCGTGAGCAATTTTTATTTGGCTATATTGTAATTATATACAGAAAAAGGCTGGGCATTTGGCTTCAGTCCCATTTGGGATGCGCCACTCGTTTCTCTTTCCATTTAGAATCTTAAAGGCATTTTGAAAACGATTTGCTCTATAGATTAGCTTAAGGGGACAAGGCCAGCCGATGCTCTCTTCCCAGACATGTTTGGTTTCGATCCCCAGGAGGGATAGATGGCGCCCAGACCGCGTACTACTCAGTATTTGATCCCAGAGCCATGCGCGTAGTAAGCAGTGTCATCTACCACTACATCGCTGCTGCCCTCTTATAACGTGGTATGGAGGGGGGAGGAGGAATCCAGGATCTTGAATTTGGACCGCGAGCTATGTTCTGGTTCTCACGTTAACATGACTTATTCAGTTTAGACCTTTTAGCACCAGCCTAGGCAAGAACTCGTTCTATAGTAGGTGCTACCGCTTGGATTTCGAGAAAGGGCTTGAAGAACTTTCTCTGAACTTCCTGGAAGACATTGCTCTTCAGTCAACCAGCTTTAAATCCTTGCGCTCACAAAGCAATCTCTACATATTTAGCCCTTCTATGTCCTAGAGGTGGGCGATAGCGTAATGAATTGCTAAACGGGTCCGTCATACCCCGCACTGTTGAAGAGTCAATTCAAATCTGGGCCGATAAGTCGTTCCACCCCGCCGAGGGGTGGCCGAGGGAGGATAGCTGTTACAGTATGCATCTCGTGGAATAAATCCAGGGATCTATGTCACGGGCTTCGCATCTGATTGTACATATTTGTCACTCAGGACCATTGCAACGTTTCTACGATGCAAAATAAGTGTCGGACAAGTGGCGCATCCCGAATGAAACCCGACCTTAGCCAGACGTTCCAATTTCCTGTAAAAACCTTGTGCTGAATGACGTTCTCGTTCTTTCAGCTCCACAAGGTCTCACTCCACTTGATCCAATGTGGATTGGTTGCTGGTGGCTAGGATTTCTCATATTCGGGTGTGATTATTTAGTAATTTCAATAATTTTTTAGCGCTACTTCTCTCTGTCACTGAAGTAATGCTAATCGATTATTATGTATAGCGCAAAACTATATGGTATGTCATGGTCAAGAATTTCTATATTCCAGAGCTCTTTTATTCTTTCCCTCATTGGTGCTATTCCTGTTTCCTTCCGACAACCTAGATGAAGACAATAACACTGTGAAGATTTCTCTCGAAGACGCTAAACTCAACGGGACAGCGTGAGTATTATTTGCATCACGTTCAAAACACGAGCACGATCCGATTCTTTCTTGGTCACCGTAGCGAAAAGTCCTGACGAAATTCCCAAAAACTGATTCGCTTTTGTTTTCTAAACATCTATTTTTCACTTTATATGTGCTGGAACAGGTCCAAGCCTTGTCTGGGACGAGTATTTTGCGAAAGAGGCAGCATTTTTGTGATAATAGGATTTCACAATTAGTAATTATATCCGAAGGGATAAAGTGGCAAGGAAAATAAGGGTAGATGCAGTCTCGAAAATGCGTCAAAGTCTCTCCTCATGGGTTAGGAGCGAATACTCACCGTGCACCTTCCGTCAACGAAGGACTTAAAGTCACATTTCGCGACTAATGAGATGTGAATCGTTACTCCGAAACTGAAAAAAATGCTGTTTTCGGGTCAATCGCAGCGAAAGAAGCGGCAAAATCGGCCCAAGAATCGTTAGAGTCACATTAGGATGTTGATTTAGATAACCCCGACACTCTATAAACTGCCCTCCATTCTCAATTGCCGTCATCTTCCCCCCCATGATGAACGGCCCAAATACGGTAGGTAACGTCAACGGAGCGGTAGACTCGAGGTTCGACTTACGGTGGAAGCGCATCAGAAGTCGAGCTGGTACCGCCCATACAGTTGATGCTGTGCGAGTTGAACGTTTTCGTAGCGACTTTTTACTTTTTTGTCACTGGGCGATTACGAAAAATCACGTAGGGGTGCTATACAAGAAGGGTGGGCACGCCGCATTTTTTGAACAGAAATGTATGTAGGTGAGACATGTTGCTGCTCGCTACTATACTGCCACGAGAATCGAGGGAATTCGTGAGCCAGGGGGAGTGTAGCCAATCTAGGGGGGGGGGGGTGAGGGCAGTCACTTGACATGCGTGAAAAGCTGGGCGTGCCCACCCCACTTGTATAGCGCCCCATTTGATATCAGGCGTAATACCTAGATATGCAATCAAAAAACTATGCCATTAACGTAACACTTCTCCTTGATCAATAACTGAAGCAGCGCCTCACCACGGAGCTCACCGGGCAGGTGTGTGCATCAGTCTGGAAGCATTTCAGAACCAGCGTTTATTTTCAGGCCAGTGAAACCGAAGAAAATGCTGATCCTCCGAGATAAACACGTGAAACGTCCATGGCGATCATGTCACTGCAGGGGAAAAAATCAGCGGTTCGTGAAATGTGTTTGAAATTCAGACCATATCCTAGAACTGAACCTATCGAATAAGTCGCGGGAATAGGTTAGACCAGTCAGACCCTTGTTAGCAGTGAATGTCTAAGGTGTCTTTACCGGGTTCATTGATCAGGAAAACCTTATGTAAATAGAACTCTTCAGAGGAAATTACTAGTTTTTTCGCTCCTTCCTCAGATGAATCTCTCTCCTATTGTCGTTGGGCCATTTTCACCTAGAAGTTAAAGAGGTCCACACAAGGGTAGGGGGCATGTGATACGATAGGTGGCGCTGCTTGTTGGCTACCGAAGGGAGGCTCGTTCGCGGCGGCCATCGAGGCAGATTGTAGCGGCATGGAGTCGCGCGTACTGTGAAGTTCGCGTTCAAGGTCAATAGAGTTGCCGCTGCGCCGTCTTTACATCGCCACCACGACGCAGCGACTCGCTCCGCTAACGACGCTCTTGCGGCGCGACGGGCCTCCTGTCGGGTACCCCGCTTGCTGTGGTTCCAATTTTCGCGTGGTGGAAAGGGGGAGGGAGGAGGAAGTCCCAGAATGCTTGAACGCTCGCGCATGCGTTCACCAACTCAAAGTTACTCCCTGCAAAAATCGGAACCAATGTAGGCGCGATTTGGCATTTTGCCAAAACAGGGATCCCCTGTGGGTTGCGTAGATCTGAACAAGGAATGAATATTGCGGGGTCTCATCCAGTATAGGAGGGCACGTAGTAGCAGGTGAGTTTATATGCATGAAGTATCCACTTTTTTTCAAGGCGAGGGGAGTCTCAGTGTGGCGGTCTGAAGTTTAAGCAAGTGGGTTCTCGCACCCCGTGGACCTAATCCCCTTGCGAAAATTCGAATTTCCGTAGCCGGCAAGAGCTGTTACACCACATGCCCTCGACCCTCGTAAATTCTTGGGGTACCCCAGGAGGCCCGTCGCGCGGCAAGAAGGCCGAGTCAGCGGACGAGTCGCGCGCGTATAGGGATTTCGCGTCAAGTTAAATAGAATGTCCCATTGCACGTCCTTCATCGCACATCACGCGCTGCGACTCGTCCGCCGACTCTGCCTTCTTGCCGCGCGATGGGCCTCCTGGGGGGTACCCAAATTCTGCGTTTAATGACAAGAACATGCCAATATTCAGAGTTCTTTTCAACTGTTCGGTTACTATTCCGCAATCCGATCTACGTTGGTGCGATGCTCGGTCGAATCGTTGACGTCCTGGCCTTCAAAGGGTAGGTTCTAGAGCTTTCAACCTCCGTGCTTTTCTCTATTGGTCAAAAATTTATCGCTCAGGAATGAGCGCTTCAGAGCACATAGTCGTATATCTAAAGGACCACTATCCTAGCCTAGGAATTGTTTTTCAGGTTCTTCGTGTTTCTTGGAAAATACTTGGAAATCCAATTCGGCGTGCCGCAGTATCGGATTCAAAAATACCTCGGTAAGACTGGGAATAAGGGGTTCTGGTACTATTGCTCCCTTTAGATCAATATAAAATGAAGTAGGCTATTGTTTCATTACAATTAAACTTTGTTCATAGTACAATGAAATAATTCAGATGAACTTGTCTGAGCAAAGTCCTAAAATTATCCCATGATCCTTTTTTTGTTGTAAAAAACCTCAAAAGGAAAGCGTTTTTTTTTCAGCTGGCACTGGCGTTGTTGGATTCGCTTGTGGTGTAATTACAGGAAGTGTGGCAATGAGGAAGTTCCATTTACAAGGTATCGAAATATTGAAATATTCCAGAGGACAATCTTGTTCCCGCCCAGTCGAGTCTGGAGTTTTTGAATTGTGCTATTTACTTTAACAATTATGACCGTACCACGGGTACATCCCACGGTCGGGTAGGTATGTTATTTTGATTGAAAATGAAAACAGAGGAGCGGAAAAGACACAAAGGGGTCCACCAGAAACACTGGGAATCAGGCTCGGGAATTGCATGTCAGTCGGGTAGATATCCCCGAAAACCAGCGGGCGTCGCCTTTCCCAGACAGCTTTCGGGGAGAGCATACCTCACCAGGATGAGATCCCCTCTTGTTCGGGGAAGCATACCTTACAG